GGGGGATGAGGTCCAGTCATAAATCTCGGCTCAACCGCCAGGTCGACAGCCATCACCCCATGGCCAAGAAAAGAATATTTTCCTCCTTAAATGGGGGGGGGGGATGAGGCACAGTCATAAATCTCGGCTCAACCGCCAGGTCGAAATGCATCAACCCATGGTCAAGAAAAGAATATGACCGCCCTAAAGGGGGGGGGGGGGCGGGGGGGGACGAGGAGGGACAGTCGTAGGTCTGTGGGAGACCGTCAGACTGACCAAATGGGGGTCAGATTGGCCCTTATATACTGGGGAGTGAGGGCGGAGCTTTGGGACTGCTGGGGGCGGGGCGTTGGGGTTAGGTTTTCTAGAACCTTCCTCATTGTGTTATAATTGGCGGTGTTTCTCTCAACTTGATTGACGTCACAGTGTAATCGGTCAAAGGTGAAGGAACAAAAGGTTTCTTCACGTCAGGAACCATGGAAACTGTGACAGACAGGTGATGGATTAGCAAGATATTATTGACAGGTTCTTCACCCATGGGACCCCGTGGAAAGTTCTGGAATTGTTTTTGTAAAGTTACCAGGAAATCGATGCAGAATCCAGCGAAATCCCTGGAGAATCTTCTGAAAGTCCTTGGGAAATCCCAATCAAAAATTCGGAAAATTCTCTAAAAACCACCGGGAAACATAAAGAGAACTCCGGAATATATTATTTTCGAGAAACGCCCAGAAAGTCTTCGATAAAACTATAGAAAACCTCCAGGAAATTCATATTCGAACTGAAATTACATATTCGGTGCATCAATTGAACAATAAACCTAATTTATGTTTAGAAAGAAGCGCATGAGAAATGGGGATGAAAAAACAGCAAATTCAGGTTTTGAACCTTGTAAATTGACTGAATTGGAATTAAACGGGTAGAATGAAGTGAATCGGAGGAAATAGTGGTTAACCAAAGATTTCGGATTTTTTCCCAAACATTTCCAGAACTTTCCTGGGAATTCCCCAGGGGCTCCCATTAGTGAAGGACCTGTCAATAATATCTTGCTAATCCATCACCTGTCTGTCACAGTTCCCATTGTTCCTGACGTGAAGAAACCTTTTGTTCCTTCACCTTTGACAGATTACACTGTGACGTCAATCAAGTTGAGAGAAACACCGCCAATTATAACACAATGAGGAAGGTTCTAGAAAACCTAACCCCAACGCCCCGCCCCCAGCAGTCCCAAAGCTCCGCCCTCACTCCCCAGTATATAAGGGCCAATCTGACCCCCATTTGGTCAGTCTGACGGTCTCCCACAGACCTACGACTGCCCCTCCTCGTCCCCCCCCCCGTTTAGGGCGGTCATATTCTTTTCTTAGCCATGGGTTGATGCATTTCGACCTGGCGGTTGAGCCGAGATTTATGACTGTACCTCATCCCCCCTTTTAGGGCGGTCATATTCTTTTCTTGGCCATGGGTTGATGCATTTCGACCTGGCGGTTGAGCGGAGATTTATGACTGTACCTCACCCCCCCCTTTTAGGGCGGTCATATTCTTTTCTTGGCCATGGGTTGATGCATTTCGACCTGGCGGTTGAGCGGAGATTTATGACTGTACCTCACCCCCCCCCCCCTTTTAGGGCGGTCATATTCTTTTCTTGGCCATGGGTTGATGCATTTCGACCTGGCGGTTGAGCGGAGATTTATGACTGTACCTCATCCCCCTCCCCCCCCCCCCCGGCATCGGAAATGCCACAAACCCTTTGAGGGATGCCTACACAGGCTCATATTTGTCCATAGATTGTATTTTAACACTTTTAGCTTTGATTGTATTGAGTTCGCCATCACAATTGCCATCCACCCATTTTTTTTTCTTAACTTTCTCAACCTCCCCAATCCCCTCAACCACCAAGGTAAGAATAGATTTTTTGGAACTAAAAAGTCAAAATCATACATCGGCCAATTTTGCGTACCCCCCTTTCAAAAAAATTTTACGTGCTGGGTTTCCCCAAAAAGTTACGTGCTAGCGTCCAAAAAAAAAGAACCATACTTTCTTCGAACTTGGTTGCTGCAGTTTATAAGACGAGCGTCTTCACCACTGCGTCATTCTACACTCCTTCAAGATATATATATAAAGAAACTGGCTACTGTAGCTAAAATAGGGGACGCCGCAGGCAGCGCGCGAACACTGTAAAAATTATCGATTTTTCAGTGAATTCCGATGTTTTTTTCTCCAGAACCGCTGAACCGATTGGGCTCAAATTTTTTTTCTGTCGATAAAATTTTATGCTTGTTCAAATGAGAATAGTGTACGTGCTGGAATTTCAGCGTGCGTGCTGCGATTTCGATATGTACCTGCAGTACATTGAAAACGTTGAGCAGTGCAAAAGTACACATGCAGTTTTCTCAGCAAAAATCTCCTGATATTTTGCACATATATTATATGCTTGTCGACAAACATTTTGAGCCTATATCGACCGGTGCCAAATCCTTCTTTTCTAGGATCCTAACAGGACCACCACTAAATTTCGGACTTTATGAGTTTAATTTCATGACGGCATTGTTTTTTTTACATCAAAAACATTAAATGTCGATAGTAAAAGACAAAAAAAAACCAAAATTGGAAAAAAAAATGAAAAAAAAAATTTTTTGTTTTTCAAAAAATTTTCCTCAATTTTGTCGGGCGGCGACTCTGATATTTTGTGCATATGTTATACCAGTGTTGATTAATATTCTGAGCCTTTAATGATCGACGCCAAATTCTCCTTTCCTATATTTCTAGAAAGTGGTTTTACGTAATATTGAAAATATGTTACGAAATTTAAGTTTTCAAAAAATGAAGTTAAAACCACGTTGAAGTATGCAAAATTTGCATCATTTTCGTTTTTTTACTCATTCATTACGATTAGTTTGAAGCCAGTTACGAGTTTTTGAAGTTTTTCGAGTTTTTCATGGTTTAAAAATATAAAAATCGGTATATCTCGAGAATGGAGAAAAATATAATCTCCGGAAAACCGACCCAACACTTCAAACACTATCCAAGTAAGAAAGAAAGGGAAGAGACGCAGAGAAACGCGACACTCTAGATTCTCTCCGTCTCTCATTTATCATTTATTCACTTGAAAAATTCGAATTTAAAGGTGGGAATAACATTAACATGTCGAATCACTTGTGACTGAGCCGGGGACGGCTTCCTGGTGGTGATAAGTTCAAAGAACACCAATACAGCAGTCAAAACAAGGCCAACAACGAGAATAATGAATATTCCACCAATGGATTCTCCATCGTCTTGATCCTTTCGTTTGGGTTGCTCGCAAACGACGCTCTTGTCCTGAAATTGGAGGTGAGAGACGCAGAGAAGCTAGACAATCCGCCTTCTCTGCGTCTCTCGCTCACCTTCCACCACTTCTCCTTCAATTCTGTCAGTTCTGTCTTCTCCTGCAGTCTCAAAATCGCAGTCGATATCAACTCCCTATAAGGAGACCCCTTCGGCAGACCAATACCGTAACCCTTTTGATCTATCAGCCCGCCGATTTGCATCAGTTCGCAATCGCGCTCCACCGCATACTCCAACATTGACGACTCCATTAGGTATGCATAGTCGGAGCTCTGGAATTTTTTTTTGATTTTTGGTGAAATCGAATTTAGGGGCGTGGCTACCTTGACCCTAGCTATACCCTCCTTCGAGGATTGCACAAAGAGTCCCGGGGTGCCGGACATAAGCTGCCACATTCGCTCATAGGTCTCGATTTTGGATTCCTGGAAATTTTGTAGTTTGTAGTCTTTGTAGTCTCCACCAACTCACATTAAAAAACGACATGGTAGACCCTCTACCCAGAGTTCCATACTTAATCTTGGTTTGTCCTGCAAGGTCATCAGCATTTTCGATCGGGGTCTCCATTCTTCTGGTGGTCAGTACGGCCGCCAAGTTCGCGGTGTATGAAGAAATAAGGATCAAGGCGAAAAACCACCAAATAGCTGTTAGAAGACGTGTGGAAGCGGCGCGGGGGCACAGTTCACTTCCCTGGAAAATTAATTGTCAGGGGACACTCCCACGTCACCAGGACTACTTCGAAACATAGGAGAAAAAAGAAAAAAGATTTGACCCCAGTGGGGATTGAACCCGCGACCCTCAGATTCAAAAACGGCAGCGCTAACCGCTAGGCCGCGCGTGCAACAGAAAGAAGAACAAGGGGTGGGCATAGAGAAAAGAGGGGCGCCGCTCTCTTCTCTCCTGGAATGGAGGGAACGGATAAACGGACAAAAAAAACTCAAGATACACGGACATCCGGACAAACAGACCTGCTGCATCAGGGAGCATACGGTGAACCAGAAAGAGTTCCTCAGAGAGAACTGATTATCCACAGGCTTATACTGACCATTGTCCTCGTCCCGTTCGAATTGTTCGTAGGGACTGATTCTGAAAATTGTCGTAAGATATGGTGTCGAGTACGCAAAAGACACCGTCACGTCATATTGCGGAATTCGAAGCTTTTCAGCATTTTTAAGCCAAAAATTGATCATTTTGAGCCTAGTTTTCGCTGAAATCAACGTTTTTCCCGACATTTTTCCCGTAAAAAGGTTTTTTCGAAAAAAAAAATGTTGAAGAAAATTCGGATTCCCGCCAAGACTCACTTTGCAATAATCCAAATCGCCACCGATACCACAAAATAGCTGGCAAATGTCATAATCCAGACCTGTGTGCTCAGTGGATCCATGAATTTGAACCAGTCCGAGTCGGTGATTCGGGGTTTCTAGAAAAAAATTTCTACAGTAACCCAAAACTTTTTTTTTCTACCGTAACCCACCTTGAACAAAATCGATATTCCCAGATGCATGTAGGGAACTGTGAAGTCGATGACCTCACTCCGTCCATAGCTGATTGTCAATGAGGCAACTGCTAGGTCGGCGTCCTGTAAGGGTGGTCCGATTTCAAAGAAGGGTAGGACCAACTTACCCCTCTTTGGAGCTCTCCCACCATCCCACTCCATTTTCCATTGGATTCTTTGGAGCCATAGGCGTTGTCACGGACTTTTTGGATGGTGTAGGTGAATTTGAGGATGTTGGCGATTTTCTGAAAAATTGAAGAGGCCTATTGCTCAGGGCTTCCCTACCTTACATGCAACAAATCGATACAGTATCCCTCATAGGACCCATTCGATGTCATCATGACAAATGGAGCCTCCAAGTACACTGAAATTTTCAGATGCTTCCCCTCCAGCGTCAATTTTTCACTCGAATTCGCAATGACGACGGCTTCTGATGAGGCGATTCGACGGGTACGGCTACTCCATTCCGCGAATTTTTGGAAGGCTGAAATTATGTTTTTTTTTTCTTGAATACTGAAAATTTGATAAAATTTGGATGGAATTTGAAAAAAATTGGCCGTCCGCAGCCTAGCGGTTAGTGCGTTCGCTTTTGGATCTGAGGGTCGCGGGTTCGACCCCCACCGTGGTTAAATCTTTTTTTCTTTTTTTCTACGCCCTCCAAGAACTCACTCAACTTCCTCCTATACACATGCAACGTGTAATTCGATCTCTCCCCAGATGGTGCCCAATACAAATCGCCGGAGATCCCATTCAGCGGGGTTTCAAAGAACTTTTTCTTGATATCACTGCCTGCTTTCCACGTGTCACCACATCTGGGCTCCTCCCAGATATGGATGGATTTCATGGAGCGGATCAGGAGGCGTAGGGTGTCGATCCAGATGGAAGTGGTGTACGGAATCCCTTTCTTCGGTAGTCTTATCGACGATTTATGCACGATTTCCTGTCGCATATCCTCCACAAACTCCGAATTCACATCGTGGACCCCAAAAGAGGTGATATTACAGTCGGCGATTCCACGCATACTATCAATATCGACAGTGACGAGATCCTGGATTTTTGTAGTCTTTGTAGCATTTGTAGTTTGTAGTCCTACCATATCCATGACCACATAATGGTACAGTACCCCACACATTGACATATTAGCGGCTTGCTCCAAGAAGTGAAGAGCTCGGGGGAGAGGGATGTTTATCACGATGCGGTAGCGGTCTGAAGATACGCAGAGAAGCGAGGTTGTCTGGTCGTCTGCGTCTCTCTAACAACTCCGCCGAGAGAGAGAGAGGCGCAGACAACTAGACACTCTGCTTCTCTGCGTCTCTCCTCCCTAGTACTCACCCAACTTATTCTTAATATGCTTCAACTCATTTCCATAGTCATCCCCGTGCTTCAACCTGACCAACTGAGACGAAAAGCTGTCCGGATCGAAATGTCCAGCCGTAATCATATCGGTCACCTCCAACAACTCATCAGCCTCCTCGAAAACCACCACCACATCCTTCCATTTTTCCCGTTTTATAAACGCCGCCACGGCCAAGGATTTGGCATTTAGATGAGGATGGAGGTGGGTGGACGGTCGGGTTGGTGGGGAGAGGTGTAGACTGACACAAGGGACATTGGTGGTGTCGGCGATGCTCTGGAAATGGAAAAAAAATAAAGTGTAAAAGAAAAAACAAAAAATTTGACCCCAGTGGGGGTTGAACCCAGGGGTGCCAGATTCGAAACGAAAGCGGTTAGCCACTAGGCCACGCGCTCGGCGAAGAAAAAGGGGAGATATGTGCCCAAAGACGTCGGATGCCACTCTATTAGAGGTATTACCTGAACTATAGCAGCTGCTGCCAGGTGTCCCTCATATTGTTCGGGTAGAATGATGGCCGATGCACCGAGAGCCAAGCAGTTGCATACTGGAAAGTGGGGGCTATGTAGAGGCAAATTAGATGCAGAGAAACTAAAGTGTCTGGATGTCTGCGTCTCTTTCTAGAACCTTTTTGTGAGATACGCAGAGAAGCAAGATAGTCTAGCTGTCTGCGCTCTCTCTACTGGAGTAAAATTGAAAACAAAGAGACGCAGAGATGCTAGAGTTTCTGGGTGTCTGCGTCTCTCTCTAGAAAACTTTTGTGAGAGACGCAGAGAAACAAGAGTGTCTGGATGTCTGCGCTCTCTTCTAAAGACTAACTCTCTTGCTTAATCCTCCACAATGGTTTTGTCTCGTATGGAATGACTTGAACTCGGAAATCGACAAACTCCAACACTGGATTTACCTCGTCGATCAAATTGGCGGGAACCGCTGGAAATTTGAATTTTTTGTGCAAAAAAAATTTTGACTTTTTGGGTTTAAGTTACCGATTTTATAGACGATTACTCTAGGGAATAAGGAAGAGAGAAGCAGTAAAAATAGAGGGAAAGGGGCCATCTAGTGAGAATTGGGGCTGACGGGGGGAAGAATGGAACCGCAAGGAATGAGAAATGTCAGGAAGAATTAGGGGGAGTGGGGTGCCCTAAGTGATGAATTTGGAAGAGGGGGGGGGCCTAATTAGAGAGACTGGAGAGACTATATGCAGGCCTGGAATGCTAAAACGAGAGATAAGAGAGCCTAGAGAAGTCAGAGCGTCTAGCTGTCTGCGTCTCTCGGGTTTTATTGGTTTTCGAATTTTTTTGTTATTTTCCATTTTAATTTGTGTCTGTACCTTATTCATCAATCAAAAATCTTCATTTTCAACCGGTTGAATAACTGAAAAAATGTTATTCTGAGCAATGTCACAAAATGTCCCAAGTTTGAAGGCGCATATCTCAGAGAGGAAAGAAGCTAGAAAAAAGTTTTCAACAGCAAAGTTGCTTTAAATTTAACGTTCTACAATTTTGCAGTTGACTACTTTTTTCTGGCTCTTTTCCTTTCTGAGATATGCGTTCTAAAAGTTTCCATGAAAGAATTTTCCCTACTGGCGCTTGATCTCTGCCCAATTTTTTTCATTTTCATCCAACCCTGAAGGTTTTTTTGTTAGATCAAGAGAAAAAAAACTCTCGGCAAACTTTTTTGTTTCTTCTCTTCCTCCTGCCAACCATCTCTTATTCCTGGAAAATGTGCCAAAGGGGGTACTTGAGTGTGCTCCCCGGGAGCTCTGATCTCTTATCTCTCTGAGAAAAAAGCGAGCAAATATCACTGATTGGGTGATGTTTACATAAGAAATGATCTTAATTACAACTTTGATAATGAAGAAAAAAAACGTTTTTTTCCAAAAAAAAAATTTTTTTTTTCGAGCTTAGAAATGCTCTTTCTTGAGCACAATTCTGCTCCGAGAGCCTTGAAAATTGGAAATTCGAAACCAGCGTGTCAAGACAGTTCAGAAAAGTATAATCATGGCTAGGTTTCAAAAAAAAACTATTTTTTGGGAACTTGGGTCCACGAAAGGTTAAAAACACCCGTATCTCGATTAGTTTTTGTCGGATTCAGATGGAATCGGCGTCATTACACTCAGCGCCATCAGCCGGTTCAGAAAAGTATAATCATGACTAGGTTTCAAAAAAATTTTTTTTGGGATTTTGGGTCCCACCACGAAAAGAAAAAATCTATCGTATCTCGGTTATTTTTAGTCGAATCTCAACGAAAATGGTACTGTTGAAATCAGCGCGTCAAGACGGTCAAAATGAGTACAATCATGTGAAGGTTTTGAAAATTTTCAATTTTTGGGATTTTGGGTCCCACCACGAAAATAGAAACAACGGTCTTAATTACAACTTTATTTGACGAATTTGATGGGATGGAAGAAGTTGAAGGCAACACCGTGTTTTTTGATACATTTTTTTGGGGGGAGGATTATTGATTTTTTTTGAATCTAAAAAATTTTAAGATACATCGATCGCTGGAAATCGTAAAAGCAGAATTAATAGGGGACCTAAATGGGAGGACGTGTGGAGCGTCATTCCCAAAGGGCACCCCCAGAAATTCAGAGCGAATCGTTCAAAAGGGATACAAAACAAAAGATTTACGAAAAGAAAAATTTAACAAAAAAAATTACAAAACTATGAGAAATTTTGTGGGGGGCGGGGCAGCAGGACAGCTGGGACTGATGGGAAAAAAAATAAATGTGACGACAGGGAGAAAATCGAAAGAGTGGAAGGCATCATTTTTGGGAGAAATTCTGATGAAACATTTACTTGGCGGTGGCCGAGCGAACGACCTGTCCGCGCATACGAACCAGGGAGTTCTCGGCGACCTCGGCACGCTCTTCGGCATTCTCGAGAGCGAGTTGGATCTGTCGGAATTTGGACAGATTCTGGGTGGCGACTTCTTCCTGAAAAAAAATTGGTATCGATTGATGTAAATTTCATATGGGGTTGCACCAAAAAATTCG